GGGGGGAGAATGAGGCATAAAATAGATTGTCCCTGAAATGTTTTTCGTAAAAAAAAAATTATTTAACATCCTTGATACAGAACACAGGCGGTTTCTCTGCCTTTGTCTGTCTGTCTTTCTGTCTGTCTGTCTGTCTGTCTGTCTGTCTATCTTTATGATATATCTATCTATCCCTGTATCTCTCAAACAAACATCTTTCTGGGGGCTCTCGTGGCCTAAAGGTTAAGATGTTCGCCTTTCGTTCAGTAGGTCCAAGGTTCGAATCCGGATAATCTCTTTCTGTTGAACTCTTCAACGTATGGATAGATTAAACTCTTGTTCATTTAACTTTAAACATTGTATATGATATTATCTAAACCTCATTACAAAGATAGCCATTTTTAGAATTGCATTCCTCTTTTTCTGAAATACTGCTGCATTGGCTGGGACTCGGGTAAAGGGGTGCACAAAAATGGCTGGGGCTGGAAGAATTAAAAGCTGCAGATCCAAGGACATACCATTAGGCCCTTGATGAGATTAGAATCCACAACCTAACAGTTAAGAGTGGCGCTTTTCGAAGAGGGCCCCACCGGATTTATTTTTAAAAAATTGAGGACACTTTTTGAACTGGTTCAAAGAGAGGAGTGAACCATCTTAAGATCGTGTATGTTATGTACGATCTTTACTGCTACTACTAATGATGATTTTTGCTGCTGCGGAGCCTATGTCTATTATTGTGTAATATACCCACGTCACAATAATTGTTAATTGTTTATTTTAAAATTTACAAAAATATGGACCCTGAACCAGACAATAAAGATAACTGGGAATTGACTGTGTGCGGCAAAGAAGTTGATATCATGAAAGATGTGATGACAGGAAACAGAGCAACTCAAAAGAGGGGGGGGGGTGAAGTTTTTAGGTTGGAGGCAGTGCCAACGGCGGCGGAGAGTCATGAAAATTCCCCAATGTTCGAACCACAGTAAAGTAACTGTACATGTAACTGATTAGGCCTTATTGAGAATAATGTTAAC